AACAAAAGATTATCCGCTAGTTTTCAATCAACCTGTATTTAGACAGGTTAGTCTCATTGAGCCTCGAGGACTCATTTACAAGAGAGACCTGATTTCAACAAAGAATGTTGACAACGATGGACAACAACGACAACAATAGACAATTATAAATGAAGCATACAGATTTTTTTTTTTTTTAACAAATTGAAATAAGATGGCCAAAAAAGGTAGCAAAAAAACAGCTAGATTCTAAGGCGAATGTAGAAAACTAAAAACAGGAACATGTCTGCATTGGTTCCTGCCAGGAGTCCAACAGATGTTTAAAGCCACTTAGAGAGGTCAAAGTCGAGAGCTTCAAATCTTTTTGTAAGATATTCCAGGAAACATGAGCGGAGTAGGAGAAGGACCTTTTGCCTAGTTCAGTCCTCACTGAGGGAACACTGCAGGTAATAATGTCCTGAGAGTGCATGCTGTAGCTGCACTCATGCAGAGACATGTAGGAGGAGATGTATGAAGGCAACAGACCAAGAAGTGATTTAAAGATGAAAATGTACCAGTGGGAGAGTCTGCGTGAAGCTAATGATGTCCAGTTAACCAGTGAATACAGGGTGCAGTGGTGGGTACGATAATCACAGCCAGTTATGAATCTTAGTGCACCATGATAGACAGCATCCAACATCTGCAGGGTTCTTGTAGGAGCGTTCATTTAAATAATGTCACCGTAATCAATGGAGGGAAGGAAAGTCACAGTTACAAGGTGTTTTCTAACATTCAGAGTTAGACAGGATCTGTTTCTGAAAGTAAAAAAAAAAACAGTTTAACTTTCAGTTTCTTTACTAGTTTTTCCATGTGGAGCTTAAAAGAGAGATGCGATTTGACCAAGATACCCAGATATTTGTAGTAATCAACAAACTCAATCGGGACACCATTTGAGGATAAAATCGGAGGACGAACTGCTGGGACTGACTTCCTGTTTGAAAAAAGCATCCCTTTGGTTTTATCGGCATTTAGGACAAGTTTAAGATGGGACAAATCTGACTGGATGATGCGGATTGCAAAAGCTGGAAAGCCTTATCAACTGTTTTAGCTCAACAATAAACAACTGTGTCATGAGCATAGAAATGTATGGATGTGTCAAGGATGCTCTGACCTACATTATCTACGTAGATTGTAAAAAAGTGGGTCCTAAGATTGAGCCTTGTGGTACACCAATGTTGACTGTTAAAATAACTGGAGGAAGTGCCATTATGTTGAACACATTCCTCCAATCTGAAAGATATTTAGAGAACCAACCAATGGTGTGTTCTGAGAAACCACTACTTGCCTACAATACTTCTTAGAAAGTAATAAAAATGCAATAAGATTAACTTATATTTGTGTATTTATTAAAATGCTGTTTGGTGTACAGTATACTCAATAACCTGCCTTGAATGCTCCAAAAGCTTCAAAAGCTATCATGGCTAACGTGTTAGCCATGATAGCTTTACAGTATAGACCTTTGTTATTATTATAAGAAATTAAAATTAAATACATTTTAACTGGATATATTTTAGCAAAACTGTTAAAAACTTTTACAAATATGTGAACATGTGTTAAAATAGGTTCAGTACAGCTCAAGAGAAAGTACTAGGATGCCTGTGCAGCTAACTGGGCAACACGCTGTTATTAGTGGCAGAGTATACAACATGAACAAGCAGTCCAGTACACAGTGAATAATTAAACATGAGTGATGCAACTTTATCCCCAAACATTCCATGTTCACTTCAACCTAAAGTTTTACCTTACTTTTAAGGCAGGACAGTGAATTTTCATGCAACAAGACGGCAAACAAAACTCTAAAAGTGACTCGGAGACGTTACTCACAACCCAACATGTGTAAATGCATCCCAAGAAAGTAAGATCTGGTTAATATAAGAGTTTGAAATCATTGTCACACCAGTATAAAAAAGACCCAACCACACACCCAGTACCTTTGTAACCAGCATCCATAGACGTGCACAGACAGCTTCTGAGTGATGCTCCCTTCTCAGGCGCCGAGGGATGTAACTCGAGCAGAGTCGTGTCTGCAACCAGATCCTGCAGGTGTCTTGTTGTTGCATTCTGTGAAGCACAGACAGAAAAAAGAAGCATAATCTCCTTTATAAGTTATGTTGAGAATGAGCCGTTACAAAGAAACATTTGATAAAGATATCTAAAATAAGAAATTCCGGAATATTATTTCAGCGTGCTACATTTGTCTGTGACAGTTATTTGACCAACTACTGCTAAAGCCAGTTGAGTTTTCACTTCAGTGAGCAACTCAGCCATGCTCTTGCAACAAATTTCATTATGAAACTCTATGAACATGTTTTCACACATTTTGTGGTGTTTTGTTTTCCCTGTGTGCAAATACAACAGTAATGGAGATTATACAAAAAGTTGTTGTATGCCCTTCTTAAAAGTTCAAGATTTTAGTGAGTAGAATTATTAATAGGTACCGTATTTTTCAGCCTATAAGTCACGATTTTTTGCATCATTTACATGCCCTAAAACTTATAGGCCGAAGCGATGTATTTAAGGATTTTTTTCCCCATATTTACAAACCAATTTTTTGCTGAGATATGATTGTTTTCATTCATTCTGACTAAGGAAGAAAAAAAATTGAACAGTACCATTTTCAGCCACGAGATGGCAGCAGAGTAGTAGGCGCTGTAAGGCATGCCGTTGTATCATGTAATAGGTAAAAGTGGCTATAATGACAAATTCAAAAAAGTTCAAGACAAAAACAACTGGACTTTATTTATTATACTTTATGCTTTATTGTTTTTGTCTTGAACTTTTTTGAATTTACCATGTCTTGGATGACTGAGAATCTTCACCAGCTACTGATGATACAATCGGCTTGCCACAGTCCCCCCACCTTCGTTCTGCTTGCTGCTTGGAGCAACCGTCAAACCAGCTGCACTGTCCCGGCAAAATGCAGCTAATTTGACCATTAAAGTGCATTTATTAAGTAAAAGTTCAACTGAGACACACCTTTGCTATAATTTCGAACAAACAAATAATTGTTTTAGGTGCTTATCTTGTTAACTTTCGAAGAACCGCGCAGTGTTCTTTCTCCTTTTTTCCTCTCTGTCTGCACGCTCCCAGAGCACCGAGGCAGTGAATACTTTTCAAATACAGCTGATTTGACTGTTAAAGTCCTTTTATTAATGAACCATTAGACTGATCCATACATTTACTATAACGTTGAGCAAACAAATAATTGTTTTTAGGTGTTTATCATGTGACATTTTGAAGAAATGCGGAGGCTCATCCCTCTGCGCGTGCCCGCCGCTTCCCATGAATCAGGTTTTGAAATACAGCTGATTTGACCAACAAAGTGCATTTATTAAGCAAAAGGTAGACTGAGACACACCTTTACTATAATTTCGAGTAAACAAATAATTGTTTTTAAGTGTTAATCTTGTTAAATTCTTGTTAAAGTCCTCCTGTGCACGCTCCCGCGGCCGCCATTTGGCAGCCAATCGATTTTTGATACAACACCGGCCCACATTTCCGGGTTGTCAAAGGTGACGCATAATAGATGCAACGTATACGGCCAAGTGACATATTTATGGATTTTTCCACTTTTTTCCACATATTTGGACTGATGTGACTTATAGGGCGGTGCGATGGGTACGGCGGAAAACACGGTAACCATGTTATTTCAAACTGTGTTGAAGAATAACGTAAAACAAAAATAAATACATTACTTTTGAACCTCTGGTTTTTTTCTCAGCTGGTTGCAGATGATGTGGTTGTTAGCAGCTTGAAGCCATGACCTTCAGAGTATACAGAGTAAACTGGAGTTGTTCGCAGAGGAGTGAAGAAGTTGGGCTTTGTCCACAGTAACAAGTAGTTTATTGTGGTGAAAAAAGGGCACAAGAGCTGATTTGAAAGGCAACACTCCAGATTTACTGTCCATGTTACTTTCAGCTCTCTGTGGTCATGAAATACAGATCATGACTTACATGAGGGATTATGTGTTCTCTCAGGTCTGGAAAGGTCTTAGGATACCCCAGAAGGAACTGATAGTGCCGTGGTGGACAACAATGTCTGGGTTTACCTGCTGGACCTGTTGTCTCTGCAGCACAACTACATAAATGAAAGGTGATATATAGATTTGTTTACATTTTACTTATAACTCCACAGAAATGATAATTTTTTTTTTTTGAAAACTACAAAAATTGTGTCAATTGGAAATGAAAACTGAGTGGAAAATATGAAACGACCTTAATCTTGTGTTAAATTTAGAATATTAAATAAAATCCATGTATCAAATGTTTATAAAGTTAAAACTTGATTGATTTTATATATTTTTGGGGTTAATTTCTGATAATTGTGCACTGTATATCCTAAATATACTCAAAAACTGAATAAAGAAAATCTCCTAATTAAAATGGTTAATTCACTGTTTTTAAATGTGTTGTAAAACAGGAGTATTTGACATTTCAAACGAGGCTTAGAAAAACTCTAATATGGCATTATTTTATACCTGTTAAACGGATAAAAGTTTCCATTTGTTGCAGACATCTTCTCTTTCTCACTTGTTCTGCTGCAGCTCACCTGTTAGCATCGATGCTACGGAAGTAGCAAGTAGCATCGACGCTAACAGGTGTTAGCATCCCGTTGTTTACAGTAGCGTACGCGCATGGACCAAACTAAATTGTCTGGTAGTCTGAACGCAAACCAACACAACCATGTTGGCGTGAAACAAGAACAAAAAGGCAGTTAATTGTGGCTTGACTCTCGGTAAGAAGGAAACTGCCTGAAAGTTAAGAAAATATAAATTTAGCAACCGTTCAGTTATATTAAGGCTAGCATGCTAACGTGAGATGTTCGTCGTGGTCATTGTTTTAAGAAAACACGACCGATTTTATTTCTTTAAGTGTAAAAGACTGCTGAATGTTTAAACAAAGCATATATTTTCAAGTACCGTTTTTGTACTTTTCCACTCGTAAGCACCTGTTGTTTATCTGCCTCTTGTAATACATGTCGAGACATGGATTTCCTCACTTTATTTGCGATCTACGTCGCTGTGGTGCTAACATGTATGTTTCTAGTTTGTAAATACTCGGGCCAGCAGCAAAGCCCCTTTAATACTCTACTCAACTATGTTTTAAAGGTAAGACCTACTCAAGTTTCTGTACGTCCTTAACACCGACACTAGGTGTCGCTGTGGAGTTATTATTCAAACGCTGCTTATTAAAAAGTGCTGTCTTCTCAGGTAGTCGCACCATTAACTCCTCAGTGGCTCCAGAAGCTTTCACATTGGACTCTGCACAGATTGTTTCATCAAAGGTTTGTAGGTACACCTCCTCAGTCAGAATGCCCATTCTTGTCATATATATTATTCCCTTATTGTGTCTCATGTCTTGTTTCAGAAACAACTTTTTCATCTATGTGCATATCCTGCTGGAGGGCGCCGTGTACGCAGAGTTCACCCTCGAGGTGTTTAGCTTCTGCAGGGAGATGGACACTACGTTAACCAGCCTCTCGGTGCCTTATGTTCTGCTGCTCATCAAGACCTTTATATTCTACCTTTGCATCAGAACAGACCCAGGTTCTTTTTCTTATATTTTCTGCATGTTCAAACAGAACTTTTACCCACTGCGGTGTCGCATCATGTAGCTTGGAGTTGTGAAAGGGGAGTTGCACAATATACACAATCAGCCTCTCCTAACTCTGTTTCTGCCCGTGCATACGTTTTTGCGTCTGTTAGCGACATAGCTCATGAGCCACTGGATGGATTTTAACAAAACTTAGAAAGTACCAGTAATCCCTCGATGCATTAATACAACCAATTAACTTCTGGAGCCAATCGAATTCAACATGGCTGCAACTGCTAATCAACATTAGCCAATACAAAAATGGGTATAACTGAGTCAGCTTTACAAATATTGAGCTAAAATTAAATGCAGCAGTAGCGGCGATTAATTCATAACGCATACTCTGAGCATAGCATCTCCAGTTATTGCATGAGTTTTCTCATAATGTTATTTTTGAGGCAACGGGTGATGTGTGTTTTTTGAAGGAATGCTACTTTTTAATTAGCTTAATTTTGATGTGCAAGTTTTGCTCGTGTCAACAAATTTTTTATTGTTCCTCTTATGACTTCTTTTCCACCCATTACTTGTGTTCCTCAGGGTATTTCACAGTTTGTTTTTATCTGGAGTGACCTTCAGTGGTGTTATGCACATTTGTAGGAATGCTAGACATAAGATTTAAAATATACTGTTAGGCCTGTCACGAGAACAAATTTTGCTGGACGATTAATTGTCTCAGAAATTATTGCGATAATTGATAATATTGTTTGAAATTTGACAATAATTAATAATTCTCAAATGTAAGAAGAAATGTTGGTCATTTTTGTGTGTAGTACCCTTTTTGACCACCAGATGCTAGTATAAGACTTTGAACCGAAGGATGGATAGTGAAGGAGCGAGCAGCATGTCTCTTTAAGAAAAATGGGAGAGAGGCCCCTTGACGTGACATGAGCTGTCTCTTTCCTTTTCTTCGGTTCTCAAAATGGCGGACGCTCAGTGTGGTTTGAGCTCTTTAGCATAACATCCTGATGCTTTGTCACACAAAGCTTTTAATAAAGAATCAGTAAACAAGTTCTCAGCTTCTTTTCGCAGAGAAAACCAACTTTTTACACGAAAGCACGGATTTCAACCGTGAATTTTGGAGCTTGGACAAGATGGAGTTTTTTTCCCCCCCGAGGTCGGCCTGTTAGCTTAGCTCGTAGCTTAGCTTCTCAGCTTAGCTGCTTTTAACGATCCAAAAACGTGAAACGTGAATTTGTTTTAAAGAGAAAGGGAGGGGTCAGTGAGGAGCACCGGAGTTGAGCCTTTTTATCATCCAGTGTCTTCAGTAGAAAGAGAGAGACACAAAGAAACGATAAAGCCGATAAAAGAAAATGGGGTCGATAATTTTCATTTATCATGCGATTAATTTATTGGTTATCGCGACAGGCCTAATATACCATACCTGTTTTTGAGTCGAGAAAATCATCTGGTTATGTTATTAATAGGAAACCAATTGGCTGGTGTTCGATCTTGGCATGAAACCACAAGTCACAATTTGCCTGTTTTGTCTCCTCCTCATCCTCCAGGCACGGTGACGAAGAAAAAAGTTTCGAGTCAGCTCCACATCTACCCATACGACAGGAGGCTGTTTCATCCTGGAGTCTCGTGTCCAACCTGCCAGCTTGTCAAGCCAGCGCGCTCCAAACACTGCAGTGAGCGCTACGTTCTTTAACTGCGTTCATGTCATTCATGTCCTGGTTACATGAATCGTTTCGCCCTCCAGTCAATGTGTAGGCTGTTTTAGACACCCGAAACAAATATTTCTCAATGCTGACTGCAAAAACTCGTCTGCACCTCAGGGGTCTGTAACAGGTGTGTCCAGCGCTTCGACCATCACTGTGTTTGGGTGAACAACTGCATCGGCGCTCAGAACACACGCTACTTCCTGCTTTACCTCTTCAGCCTGTGTGCCATGGCAGGGGACATCGCCCTGCTGACAGGAGACATGCTGCTTCATGCTGTGCTGCGTTCAGGGCTCCATAGAGCCAGTTATGTTGATGGGTATGGGCAGCAGCAGCCAGCTGGACCTTTGTTTGTTGTCCAGGTACATCTGACATTCTCTCTGTTTTAAATTCAAAATGTATATCGTATGTTGAACAGTTTTTCTTCATCCCTCTGTAGCATTTGTTCCTGACTTTTCCCCGTATCGTCTTCATGCTGGGCTTCTTGATCTTCCTCTTCTTCCTCCTTGCGGGTTACGCTCTGTTTCATACCTACCTGGCTCTTGTCAACCAAACCTCCAACGAGTGGTACAAAAGTCGAGGTTACGTCTGTCAGCGCTGCCACCCAGCAGCAGCAGCCGATCATCTTTGCAGCCCTGTCCCGGATCTCTCCAAGAGACATTACTACAGCCGAGGACTGCTCCGAAACCTGAGAGAGATTTTCTTACCTCTAAAGGGCGTTCAGAAGAAGGGCAACTGAACAAAGATGCTGTTTTAACTGGAAACATTCACCACTGTTACTGCTGGGAAAATAAAAGTTTGTCATTACTTTATGGCCCCTAGTTTCTGTGTCGGGTAACATCTAAAAAAAAAATCAGGCTGCCATTGCTTGTTGCCAAAAATAAATCACACTTTGTGGTATGTTTGTTACTTTGCTGAACATGCATCAGGAAATTTACTTTGTAGTATTTTTTTTTGTGTGCTGTGGTCAATTTAGGGTTTTAAAGAGTTTAATTACATTATTTACAATTCTGTATGATGAGGTGTAATTGAAGGTAGCAGCTGTACCTAGATGTTCAGTAAACCCACTTAACTGGAAATCTCAAGTTACATGTGGAGTTTAGGTTCAAAAGCAGTGGGACATTTTTAGACAAACCAACATTATTTGTATTTTTTAAGGCAAAACGTTAAAAGTATTTTTTACATAGTTTTTCCTTTTAGGCTTATTACTGAAATCAAAGGGAACGAAGGCTATTTACTTAAAAGACGAAACATTATTTTAATGTCTTTAAGTAATAGTTTGACCACTGGTATTGTGGCAGTAGTAAAATATGTAAGTGTATTCCCAGGTACTTATAATATAAACACAACTTGGACTTAGGTTTCTCATTGCCAGTAAACACAGCTCAGGTTTAATTTTTTACTAGGGCTGTTGATCGAATAATAAAAATGAATTAATCGCAAATCTGTTAACAAACTAATCGCGATCAAGGCAAATTATAATAAAGATGGATTCATTCATCAATGAAGTCATTACTTTTATTGTTTTGTTTTTACTTTGACAGTGTTTAAAAGCTTTGAAATACATACACTAAAAAAAAAAAAATTGTAGGTTGCCCCCTGTTATGTCCCTTTGAAAATTTGAAACTTAACCTTAAACCATAAAATGTTTTTTGTAAGTAAAATTAGGACACTAATTTTAGTAGACCGAATTTTGTAGTTGAAACTAATATTAAAAAATATATGGGTATAGTCTAAAAGCCTGTTTTCTATATAAAAAGCACATATAAATGCTTTTAAAAGGTTTAAACCATTTAGTTAAAATTAGTTTGGGATTTTTAAGTCAGTTAAACCACGTGCTTAAACTACCGGAAGTGGGCGGGGCTTTGAATTGAGAGGTTCCTGTCTCTTTAAGCCGGTGCGGAAGTTGCCGGTGAGTTGCAGCAACAGTCGACAGAAGGTCAGCTTGTTTCTCTGATAAATGTTAGCGCCATTCATTCGTTTTTAGTTTTCCGAAAACAGTCGTCTGGACCCCAAGTGTCGACAGGACGCGTTTCCGTCACGTCTGTGTCTGCGCGGAGGCGGCAAAGCCAGTTTGGACTCAACACCGGTGTTGTAGAGTATTTGGTTCGGTCCTAAATCAAACACCGCTTCAACTGTCCTGATGTCGGGGACAAAATGTACACGGCTGAGCGGGTCTCTGGTGAAGCAGCTGCTGGACTCGGTGGACAGCGTCCTGTTTGACTGTGACGGGGTCATTTGGCGGGGGGACCAGGTCATCCCCGGCGCCCCCCAGGTCATCAACCTGCTGAAGGAGCACGGGAAGAAGGTCTTCTTCGTCACCAACAACAGCAGCAAGACGAGGAGGATGTACGCGGAGAAGATGTCCACGCTGGGCTTCAGCGTGACGGAGGAGGAGGTGTTCGGGACCGCGTACTGCTGCGCCATGTACCTGAAGACCACGTGCAGGCTGGAGGGGAAAGTCTACCTGATCGGAAGCAGCGCCATGAGGCAGGAGCTGGAGGCCGTGGGGATCCAGCAGACCGGCGTGGGTCCGGACCACGTCCTCGGGAAGCAGAGCGACTGGGCCGGCGTGCCCCTGGACCCCGAGGTGAGGGCGGTGGTGGTCGGCTTCGACGAGCACTTCAGCTACATGAAGCTGAACCGAGCCCTGCAGTACCTGCTCCAGAAGGACTGCCTGTTTGTGGGGACCAACAGGGACAACAGGCTGCCTCTGGAGGGGGGCAAGGCTGTCCCAGGTAAAGATGCTCCACCAAGAGAAACTCGTGCCTTCACACGGCTTTGACTTGATGAACCACAAAACAAAAAAAAGTACAACTGATAAACCTTTTTAGTTGATCCAACAGTCACAAACTCGCCTGAGAAAACATCAGCTGGTTAAAATGAGGTGTGGTGACGGCTGAGAGTCATCCCCAACACGTAGTCTGAGGGCTGACGGATTGCATGAGATCTTGACCTGAAAGTCTGACGTTAACTGTCGGAGACGTTTGCAAAAAAGCTCATAAACCAGTGGATAGAGTTGACTGAAACTGAACCGTCTTTTGACGGACACCTCCCAAGTGAACAAATAACTTTCACCGTCGAGACGATTAAGGTCCACACATCATACGCTCACACATAAATGCTATAAATGTGTAGTGTTGTCGTACTCGAGACCACGTTTTCATGGTCTTTTGGGCTCGACCGAGACATTGAGGACTCGGGATTTTATTTAAAGAGCACAACTGTGGAAATATCACTAAATTGCCAGAATACTGTCCAGTTTATTTGTCAACATCTTTGTTTTTATTGGATGCAAAACGTACCGGTTCAAATCCAAGTGATGGCTGCTAAAATACATGTTTTCGTTAACGTTGCAACCAGGAGTGGAAGTAAGCCGGTGTAGTCTGTGAAAAGATTGAGCTTGAAGACTTGAGGTCTTGGTCTCGTCTCGGTACACTCTGGTCTTGGTCTTGGCTGGGTCTCGGGTTAGGTGGTCTCGACCACAACACTTAACCGTCAGTCTTACGGATATGAAGCTAAAGTTTGGTGTGGTAGTAGCTGAGTTGGGCGGCATGGATTCTTTTACAGAATGCCTTTTGATTGAGATCACATGTGTCAAACTCAAGGCCCGGGGGCCAAATGTGGCCCTCGTTGACATCTTATCTGGCCCCCCAAGATGTTCTTTTAAATGTAAAATACTTGTATCACTTTAATTATTGTCAATAATCTATTGATTATGATGTCAAAAGTGCAACAGAGAACGTCAAATGAGACCGATCAAACTCTTGTTGAGGAACCTGCAACCAGGAGAAGATCTAACTTGAGTTAATGTAGATTCTGAAATTGGCCCTTAGTTTGAGAGTTTGACACCCCTAAGACAGATTTCAAAGGTTACTGATGTTTTACTGTTTCTGTACGCGCTGCATATCACAGGTTTTGTGTAATTCACAAGAAAGAGCCTGACACAAACTTGTAATGGTTCTTTGGATGACCTTGTGACCCCTCCTCTCCTCAGGGACGGGCTGCCTGCTGCAGGCTGTGGAGACAGCAGCCCAGCGTCGGGCCCAGACGGTGGGCAAGCCCAACCACTTCATGTTCGACTGTGTGGCCTCCCAGTTCGGCGTGCAGCGGGAGCGCTGCCTGATGGTCGGGGACCGCCTAGACACCGATATCCTGCTGGGCTCCAACTGCGGCCTGAAGACCCTCCTCACCCTGACGGGGGTCAGCACGGTGGCGGACGCTGAGGCCAACTGGGAGAGCGGCTGCACGGAGAGGCAGGGGATGGTGCCGGATTATTACGTGGAGAGCATCGCAGACCTCCTTCCAGCTCTGCAGGCATGAGACTGAAAAGTCCTATTTTATGGACAAAGACTCTACAAACCCAGATTTTATTTATTTAATCAATTATGTTAATTTTAAATGACATTAATGATTGATATATATATATATAAAAAACAAAGAGATTTAGTATTATTTTAGTGCATTTAAGTGTTAAGGGAATAATCTTTAGAAATATTGAGTCTACTGGCCTTTGTTTTTCCTGTGGTGCAACCTCTTGAGCAACGAACGGCGAGTTAAGCTCACAAAGGAAAATGGAGAACAAAAACCGTGTCAACAGTGGTGCAGTACATGCCCAGCTTTTAACCAACTCTTGTGTGTGTTTTAAAACTTTAACATGTGCTGGTATTTGCACTTAAAAGAAAGGGATTTTTGCAATGATAACCCAGTCTGTCGCAAATAAAATGTTTTAAAAACCTTCTAACGTGTGCTTGCAATGTGGACTTTTTCCATAAACCTATACTTGATTCTTTGTATTGAATTTTCCAGTGCAAGTCTTGTGTTTCAAGTCACCTTGGGCTGTCATCGGTGGACTCCGAGGCGGTCCGTATCTCCTCACCTGACGACGGAGGCTGTCCACCGTGCGCCTGCCTCTCTTTGTTCATTGTGTGGACCGGGGAGAGCAGCCAGCTCGTCTCCTGTAAGAGTGTCTGAGCGAGGAGAGGCGAGCATTAGAAGGTTGGCTCAGGTTAAAGAGGGATGTCAGGAAGGTCACATGAGCATTCAAGCACACTTATTTACGGTGGCCCTAAGGCATATGTGTCAAACTCAAGGCCCGGGGGCCAAATGTGGCCCTCGCTGACATCGTGTCTGGCCCCCCAAGATGTTATTTTTAAATGTGAAATACTTTTATCACTTGAATTTTTTCAATCTATTTATTATGATGTCAAAAGTGCAACAGAGAACGTCAAATGAGACCAATCAGACTCTTGTTGATGAACCCACAACCAGGAAAAGATCTAACTTGAGTTAATGTAGATTCTGAAACAGGCCCTTAGTTTGAAAAAGGTTTTAATTTTGGCCCCCTTTAGTAAGTGAGTTTGACACCCCTGCCCTAAGGTGTAAATGAACATTTGAAAAAACGGAATTACATTAAGCCAAACAGGGAGTTCATTCATTTTTTACTTTATTAACAGCATAAAACCGAACAACAGAACAATATGCAGTACACACAACGGAGATGCAGTTAAAAGGATAGCCTGCTAACTGTATCTCCGTTGTGTGTACTGCATATTGTTCGTTTTATCCTGTTACTAAAGTAAAAAAAAACAACTTCCTGTTTGGCTTAATGTAAGTCCGTTTTTTTTTTTCAAATGTAATTCTGTTTTGTGAAATGTTGTGATTTTGTTGTGTTTTTTTTTTTCAAATGTTCATTTACACCTTAGGGCCGTACTTATTCCTATTCTGTAGAAACATTAAAAGTTTAAACAGGTCACTTAAAGTTTGACTTTACATGTCTGAAATGACATTTTGGTATTCTTTATTAGTTTATACACAACAGCAGTTTAGTTTTTATAACACTTCAGCCATACTTTAGCTCAAACTTTTTAAGTTGGTAGTAAAATACATTTTTAACTCCTGCTACATAAAATGCTGAAGAAACACGAACGTTCACACGTGACCTGCTGAGTTTTCTGCCCCTTAAAAGGTCAAGAATTTTTAAGCTACAACTTAAAGTTTTTGGACAACAACAAATTTGTTTCAGACCTACTTTTTAGTCCATTAAAGTCTTACCATGGTGACCATAAAGAGCTTCTGGCAGCCGCTTGAACATTTATTTTGGTATGTTGGTTCCTTCATCTATGGTCATGAGCTTTGGGTTGTGACTGAAAGAATGAGATCATGGATACAAGCGATGAGTTTTCTCTGCAGGGTGTCTGGGCTCTTCCAGAGGAAGACCCAGGACACACTGGAGGGTGTTTCTCAGCTGGCCTGGGAACATTTTGGGATTCCCCTGAAGGAGCTGGTCCAAGTGGCTGAGGAGAGGGAAGTCTGAGCCTCCCTATTTAAGCTGCTACCCCCGCGACCCGACCCTGGATAATCGGAAGAAAATGGATGGATGAATGTTGGTTCCCTTATACTTCTTACCCAGTTTATACATGAAAATGTATCATTTTCTATATTTCTGCATAAATTTGACCTAAAACATCAGATTTTCACACAAGTCCTAAAAGTAGATAAATAGAACTCGGTTAAAGAAATGAGACAAAATACTTGAGATCATTTATTTATTGAGGAAAATGATCCAATATTACATTTGTGAGAGACAAAAGTATGTGAACCTTTACTTTCAGTATCTGTTGTGACCCCCCCCCCCCTCCCCCCACCCACCCACACACAGCAATAACTGCAACTAAACGTTTCCAGTAACTGTCGATCAGTTCTGCTTGACTTGGAGGACTGTTGACCCATTCCTCTGTACAGAACAGCTTCAACTCTGGATGTTGGTGGCTTCCTCACATTAACTGCTGCTTCAGGTCCTTCCACAACATCTGGACTGGATTAAAGTCAGGACTTTGACTTGACCATCGCAAAACATGAACTTTATTCTTCTTGAACCATTCTTTGGTAGAACCACTCATGGGCTGAGGGTCATTGTGTCGCTGCATGACTCACCTTTTCTTAAGATTCAGTTCATGGACAGATGTTCTGACATTTTCCTTTAGAATTCTCTGATATAATTCAGAATTCATTGTTCCATCATTGATGGCAAGTCGTCCTGGCCCAGATGCAGCAAAACAGGCCCAAACCATGATACTACCACCACCATGTTTCACAGATGGGATCAGGTTCTTATGCAGGAATGCAGAGTTTTACTTTCATTTCATTTAAACCAAAAAGTTCTATTCTGGTCTCATCCATCCACAAAACATTCTTCAGTCTTCTGTTGTGTCCATGTGATCTTTATCAAACTGCAGACGAGCAGCCATGTTCTTTTTGGAGCAGTGGTTTCTCCTTCAACCCTGCCATGCACACCATTGTTGTTCAGAGTTCTCCTGATGGTGGACTCATGAACATCAACATTAATGTGAGAGAGACCTTCAGTTGTTAGAAGTTACCCTGGGGTCCTTTGTGACCTCACAGACTAATACACACCTTGTTCTTGGAGTGATCTTTGTTGGTCCACCACTCCTGGGGAGGGTAACACTGGTCTTGATTTCTGTTTGACTGTGGATTGGTGGAGTCCAAACTCTTCAGAGATGGTTTGTAACATTTTCCAGCCTGATGAGCATCAACAACTCTTTTTGTGAGCTCCTCAGAAATCTCCTTTGTTCCTGCCATGATCCACTTCCACAAACATGTTGAGAAGATCAGAATTTGATAGATCCTGTTCTTTAAATCAAACAGGGTGTCCACTCACACCTGATCACATACTTTTACCACTCACAGATATTATGTATATGTATTTGGGTGTAACTAGGATCTTGAGTACACAATTTTGTTCCACATGTGATGCGAATGACAATAAAGAACCTTGAACCTTGTAATATTGGATCATTTTCCTCAATAAATGACCAAGTATAATATTTGATCTCATTTGTTTAACTGGGTTCTCGTGATCTATTTTTAGGACTTGTGTGAAAATCTGATGAAGTTTTAGGTCATATTCATGCAGAAATATAGGAAATTATAAAGGCTTCACAAACATTCAAGCACCACTGCACATTATTATAAATTTGATGTTGGAATTTTGGCTTCGTTAGAATCTTTTCCAGAAATTTTCTATGTGGGAACTTGAAAATTCAGTTTGTCAAGGTTTAGAGTTTTTGGTAAAAAAAAAAAGTGTAATAAAGTTGGAAGGGAAACGTAGGAACTGGGGAAAGAGAGAGGAAGAGGCAAAGAAAGGGGCAGGTCTGAAGGGGTGCGGGGGGCCAAAAGGAAGCTGGCCAGGTGTATTGAGTCTCAGTCAGCGCTGGTCATGACCACAACTCCATGCCGATAGCTGCGAGTAGGGAGCTGACTGAGTGAGGAGACGTCACGGGACAGGATGGTGAGGTGCTGGAAGCATTCAGAGGAAGCTCGGTACACGGTAAGCACAGGTCTCTGCTCGGCTATTGTCTTTAACTCGTGTCACTGCTTTATATAACCATCTCTTTTAGGAGAAGGCTCACGAAGGGCCCCAATTCCCTCAAAAAATCTTCTGGGTCGTTCTCTCAGCCCTTCTGTTCCTGGTCACCTTTGCCCTTGGATTGATGGGGCACCATTGGTTGTATGGGCCCAAGTCTCAGGTATGAGCTACTTATCTTACTCATCCAAACCATGCCCTGATGTAAAATCTGCATTTATTTATCTAGATTTTATGAAACAGTCTCTGCAGATTGTGAGAATCACTGCACCAGATGAGGCCGGTATTCTGTTCAACCAGTCAGCTATCATGGACCAGCAGAATGGCCTTGTAACGTTTTTCATCACCTCACCGGCAAATGAGTCAACCGCGGTGCTCTACGATGTAAAACATGTACGTCCAAGTGGCTACCTTAGTACTGCTTGACAATGTCCTCCAGCTGTGATAGGATATCTGTTGTGTTTCAGGGTTTGATTTGCTACAAACCTGTCGATCGGAACATCTGCTTACTCCGAACGATGGACCAGTCAGACTATGACAATGTGAACGCCCTCCTCTACGAACCAACACACGAGGTAACAGGTAGCAGCGGATAGAGACTTGAACTGTTCTGGTATTTCACAAGGTTTTCCTAGTTTACAACACGAGAAGGAAAAAGTTGCTCTTTCAGCCGCGCTGGGGGGTTTCTGGGTCATAGACCGGCTGGGATTCTGGCATGGTCTCGTTGCAGCGCCACACAAAGAGAGAGGTGAAGCGTTCAGGGCCTTGGGGTGCCTTTTAGTCTCCCTCTGTGGCCTCCACAGCTGAATTCCTCTGCACATCTGATCCCCTTAGCCCCCGTCAGCGTGCTCGGGATCTTTTTACAGGAGGTTACAGTGGCAAGCCTCAACCCTGACTGGGGCACAATGGCCACTCTGTCAAGTCTCTTTAGCTTTGCCTCTTTTAGATGAAAATACAGTGCGACAGCGTCAAAGGACCTGTGTGTATCTGCTTGTTGGCAAATATCTGGATCTCTAATAGTGACTTAAATACTCCTATCAGTTTCGAATTGACTCCTGCCGCTCTCAGAAATGACTTTTGTCTCATTATCTGATTTTTGACGAAGGTTAATTAGACATGAGACGAGGGTTCTCATAAGAAAACCAAGAGGCAGCTTTGTTTCATATTCACCCACGATGCTTCACCACGCATCAAAAAGCTGCGGTTGTTTTTGTTGTCTCGTGGTGTCACATGTCTCGTACCGTTTCTCGTCATTCAAACGAGCCTGCTTTTGTGCTCCTTTGATCATTCATAGTTGCGCTAGTAATGGTGCTTTGACGGAGAATGGTTATCTTTTACATCAGAGGAAAACTGGTTGTAACGGGACCCAGTCTATTAGAACAGGGCTGAGTGGTTCACTATCAGCCAATCAGAGGTGTAAGTGTTGAAGGTACACAGTTTATGTCCATGGTTCTCAAACTGTAGTACAAACACCAGTGGTACTACAAGTAGTACTGGAGTCATTTTAGCATAAAATATCTTCAGATTACAAAACAAGCTGTGATGTAAAGATACAAAGTAGAGATTAAGATGAGGGGTTCTAGCTTGGCTGCAATCAGAAACTACTTGGAATGAAACTGCAGTGGAGAATGTTTTGAGAACCCCTGTAGAAACTGAAGTAGATGATGGTGGACAACGTGGACAATGGTGACAATTCTAGTGACTACGTAAGCAGCACCAGTGAAGGCTCTTAGGACCTTCTAGTTACAAAAGGTGCCAAACATCAAGGAAAATGTGATTCCTGTTTTCTCGGTCCACAATGTTTGCTGTGCCTTTGTCAGCAACAAATGAACGGAACCATCACATCTCAAACCTAATCCTTCAAGGGTTGGGTGTGTTTTCCATATTTTGTTGGTTCCTTCTGAATGAGTCCACTGATCAATTGGAGTACAAAGTGAAAGGCAAGGAAGGTACAGCCTGCTTTGTTTAGTACAGGAGCTAAAATGTTAATATTACTTAAGTTATTGAGATCATAGACAGAAGCCTTGTTAGGTTTGTTAGGACTTTGGGACATCCTCAGTAGTGGACGTCAGGTTTACCTGATGTTTCGGCCATTAGACACCTTCACTAAAAGAAGGCCAAGCCCAGGATGAGCAGGACTCAGTGTGTGTCCTTTAGCCAATTGGGTTTGTTGAACATTCATGGTTAGGATAAAAAAAGTGAGTTTAGTTTGTAAGTCCGAGTGAATAATTAGCTTTTTTATGTTCGATACTAAATTTTAATCCAAGCTTGTAAGTTTGTGCTGACAGTTTGTTTTTTTCTTTCCATAATGGCGATACCAGGACGGCTTTGTATTTTGTGAGGGGTTACTCATTTTGAAAAGCGCTGGTTTATGAGATAAAACGCTGGCTTCAGTTTCCACCTTGTTCATTATGTTTTCAGCTTAAATCTGATTCTTCAAAATGTTTTCAAAGAAACTCAATTTCAAGTAAAAAACTGAAAATGGTGAAAATCTTTTCCAGAAACAGATCCTGTCTACCTCTGAATGATAGGAAACATCTTGTAACTGTGACCTTCCTTCCCTCCATTGATTACAGTGACATTATTTACATGAACGCTCCTACAAGAACCCTGCAGATGTTGGATGCTGTCTATCACGGTGCACTAAGATTCATAACTGGTTGCAACTACCGTACCCACCACTGCACCCAGTATTCACTGGTTAACTGGACATAATTAACTTCACGCAGACTCTCTCACTGGTACATTTTCATCTTTAAATCACTTCTTGGTCTGCTGCCTTCATACATCTCCTCCTACATGTCTCTGCGTGAGTGCAGCTACAGCGTGCGCTCTCAGGACATTATTACCTGCAGTGTTCCCTCAGTGAGGACTGAACTTGGCAACAGGGCCTTCTCCTACTCCGCTCCTGTTTCCTGGAATATCTTGTAAAAAGATCTGAAGTTCTTGATCTTGACCTCTCTAAGAGTCTTTAAACATCTGCTAAGTTCATGGGAAAAACAACACAGACATGTTCCTGTTTTTAGTATTTTATATTGTTTAATAATGTAGCTGTTTTTGTTTCATTTTTTAAAATATAATCTTCTTTGATTTAATCAATTTATATGCTTTTTTATATGATTGTCCACTGTTATCATAACTCAAAAGAGGTCTTTCTTGTAAATGAGTCCTTGAGGCTCAATGAGACTAACCTGTAGAAATTAAGGTTGAATGAAAAGTGTTTTTTTGTTGTTTTTTTTTTTTTCAAACAGTCCATGTCGGGTGCTGATTTCCATTTTGTGATTTTCTCCTCGACAGAGTTGGTTTCAGCTTTCTGGGAATGACACGCAGAGGCGGACGGAGTTCCTGGGAGTTCTGGCGGTCAGTCAGGTGAACGTGTCCTCACTGGAGGAGCCTGTTCAGGGTCTGTGTCAGGACAGGCCTGTCCACTGGGCCCAGAGGGCCGACGGTGAGACCATTCACATGAAACCCACGTGTCCAACTAAACATTGAATGTTATCCACAACAACAGCTTTTGATGAGTGCTTGTGGAAACATTTCACTTTGAAAGTAACATAGCAATAATTGGGAAGATATTTACAATTAACATGAGTCAACTTGATTAAAGATGGCCGCCGCAACTAACTGATTTTAGCAAACACAAAAATGGCTCTAATTCAGTCGATTTAAAGAGACTCAGATAAATTTGGTGTAGCAGCTGAGTCACTGCCAACACAAACTCTTAGTGCTAAACGATTGTGTGCGATCTCATCTCTTGTGCAAAATGCAATCATCAAATTTAAATAGCTGCAACTCCATTGATATTTCTGCTTAAAACACTCGCATCAAAGCTCAGGAGCGAGGTATTTATTCAGGGAATGCCAGGTTGTTCAGTTTACTCCAAATTTCTTCCTACTTCTACGAAATTCAAAGTATTGTTTCCTTTGCTAAAGAACTACTTACATGCTCTTACTTTGTGTTTTACAAATGATCTGTATAACAGGACTTCTCTAGAAAAATTTAAACATGATGTTTTTTAAGCAAATCAGGTTCAAGGAAGAAAATTAATTTGTTTCTGGAGTTTGTGTGTGTTTAAAGAAATGTTTGGAAGAAAGATGTACTGTAGTTAAATCTTAGAAAGTGATTACTAATCTATTTTTATGAGTATGTAGAGTGGTCATTTTTTGAAATCAAAACATCATTTAGTCAAAGTTATTCATCGGCTGAGCTGCAACAAAGTTATTGCTTTTTCATCTTAGTGGAGATCGGGTAAAAAAGTTCAGGTCAAAATGAGTTTAGATATTTTTAATTGGTTTTAAAAGCAACAGAAATCCAAAGATGTCCTTGTTATGGCAACAGATCCTAAATCTGTGTCATTCTATAAGCACTCTTGCAAAAGGACGTGTGCAAAACCGTGAATTTAACAAAAAATTAAAAACTTTTATCTAGAAATAACGCGAATACAAACAAACGACGATCCAAAATCGATTACAATTTCTTTCTTTCCAAAAAAGAAAGCACGGTATACACGGTTAAAAACTGTATTGCTCTGTGCTTATGCAATCCTTCTGCGGTATGCATTTTTTCTAACATAACACTCAACAGGAAGTAAGCCTTTTCAAAATAAAACTAGATTTCACAATCAGCCTTACTTAAAGGACAAAAAAAGGCATTGCACAAAATATATGATCTAAATATTTCTTATGTACGGCTCTAACAGGCCTTTTAAATATGATAAATACGTTATAAGTGAACCAAGCCCTGAGGCGAGGAGCTGAACAGTCTCGACCTGTTTGTCTTTGGATAATTTACTGAGAAACATGATGCTCCTCATTTACATGCTGCGTTAGATAAAGACGCCTGCTGGATCTAGAAAATATTTTAAGTCTTTTCAAATCTCAGTGGTTATTTAGAAAAGAGGATGAAATTAGTCCACGTCAAACTGAAATCGAACTTTAATCTATGACCTTGCTCTGACCTTCCCACTGCCTGACAAAAAACCCACATCAACATCCCTGCATGCTCACACGTCTTGCTTTCAGGATATGTGAAGTGAGAATCCGTGATTTGGAAACACACTTAAGGTCATTTGAAAATATTGCACAAAGATCCGTCATGAACTTGTGGTGACGACAGATTTTGTTACTTTTAACTCTGACTTTACCGATACGTACCTTGTTTTTCGTACGACAAGGCGCACTTAAAATCATTTCCTCAACTTTTGAAGTTAATCTTTGTGTTGTTGTGTCTCAGGCCCAGGCAAACAGCGGCTGGTCTACTTCTGCATCGACATCTGTTTCCCCAGCAACATCTGTGTGTCTGTGTGCTTCTACTACCTGCCCGAGTGACTCTGGGTTCTGTTTCTCGCAGCAAATAAAAGATCAGGGAAACAAATGTCTTTTTTTTTTTTTGCTTCTTCTACAAGAAAACATAAAAAGCAGCACAAAGGTCATGTTTTGTGTCACATTATTGCAGATGAACTAGTGGAGCGTCATATTCATGTCCATCCTTCAGACAGAAACAAACCACGAGGCTGACACAGGAACACAGAAGATCTCTCTCTCTCTTTGAGACGTAATGTGATTTTTTTCTCCCATAGAAATGGTTTTATCTAATAAAACACATAATGTGGGTTTCTGATTAACCTTTTTATTATTGTTAGAAAAGAAAAAAAACCGACAAGCTTTTGAATTTTATTTACATAATGTGGATCATCAGGACAGCAGTGCACTCTGCACTACAGATTATGAATTATATTTACATAACGCACATAGAAGTTATCACTTCTACAGGACTGTGGGACAAAGTGGATGTTACAGTTGATTTGATTCAATAAATAGAGGAATCTCTAAAAACAAATGCTGAAAAAATACTGAGATCTGGAATAAGATCTGTACGACTGCTGAGAGTTTTATTCAAAAATATGGGGTTTCCTCTCGAGGTGGACGTTTGATTTGTGAATTTAAAGGTTGGTCGTGTTGCTTTGCTGCTTCACTTACAAGAACCAAAAATGGCATGAAAACTAATTCCCCCTGCAGCTGACACTTTGGCGTCCTGTCCCACCTGAAACAAAGTCTGTGGACTCAACCCCCTCACTGCACCATAGTCTGGATGTCGCTCCTCCCTTTCAGCCGAGCACGCTGTCATTAAAGGCCAGGCACACCACAGCCTTCTGGTGGCCGCTGTACTCCCTCTTGATCTCACCAGTCTCCACACACCACAGGCGTGCAAGGTTGTCTGAAGACGCTGTGGAAACAAATACAAAATAAAAAATCAGACTTCATTTTCAGCAGCATTTAAAAATGACTTGATCAAAACTTTGTACTTATCTAACATTTCGACATGAACACGGAACGAGAGCTTGAAACGTCTCAGTGAGCAACTAGACTTTAAGAACGTCGACTTCCCTGCTGTGTAAACCGAAATAAACAAAAAGACTATTTTAAAGTTCGCAGCTTAGAATTCACAATAATCATCTGAAAGGAGCATGAGCACGTCTTTCATTTGGAAACGAAACCGGAACGGTTCTGAAGAAATGTTGTGTCAGTGCAGCAACGGCTCTAAAACCCTGACCCTTCAGACTCACATTATCTTTGTTGTCATTCAGCAGAACATCAGAGATGCACTGCAGAACAAAACGACGTTGCATATTTGGTCACAAACATGAACCAGCTGGATAAACTATACGAGTATAAAAGAAGAATAAACAACAATATAGAATAAAATGACATAAGAACGATTAAAAAAAAGGGGAGGCTGTATAAATATAAGTGCAAACTTTTGAAATTTGTGCAAGAAATGTATCAGGAATAATATGTGCAAACAATCAAATAACACGTAGATAAAATAATACTATAGCTTTGGATTATTTGGAGTCATTCAAAAGTCTAATGGCGGTTTCTCTCTAAAGCACGGCAGTAATTTGAGATGTTTGTAAGAATCTAAGCGGACAAAATGCAGACGTTTTGATGTTTGGACTATGAGAAATGTCACGATTATGAGAAAAGTTTGCGAAACTTTACAGAATTTAGACAGAAAAAGTTGGAGTCTGCAACATCGTCACACTAAATCGAACAGTTTGTGGAAAAAATCTGAAAAAAATAAACCGTTATTGTGTAAAAACTGTTAAGTCTAACAAAATGCCAGTTCAGTCGTATAAAGTTCAACCTTCTGTAATTTATTTAAACTTTAAATTAACATTTTACTGGCTGGGTTTTCTCACTTGTTTCATCAAAATCCTTTTTGCCGTTTATGGTGAATTTTTTAGCAAAGCGTCTTCATCATAATGCTACTAAAAGCCACAGCACGCTGTTCCTGATCAACATGCTCGTTCTCATATAGCTATATAGGTTTTCTAAAGCTGGAAGAGGAGTGGGAAATGAAATGCATGAAGAAAATTAAAAAATAATGACCACATATGCATGGTTACCTTCAACTACTGTGTATAAATGTTAGTGAACATGCGTACTGAGTGATAACTCCTTTCCTATGGTTTATCTACAAACCTGTAACAATGTACTGAGAGTCTCCTGAGAAAGCACAATCCCACATCCAGCCCCTGGACGTCTCTCCAGGATTGTTGCTCTTGATGCTCAGCTCCGTCATCAATGAGAAATTGGACGTCCTCCAGATTTTACAAGTCTGATCTGCCGAGCAGGTGGCCAGCAGTCTGGAGAACAAAACAGAAGCAAAAATAAAAGTGGACATACGTGTAACACTTTAACCCCTACAAATGCAGCAGTCACTTCAAAGCATCTGAAAGCATGCTCACGTGGAGTCCGGGCTGAATTTGCAGCGTAGGGAGTAGCGTTTGTGTGCTGGGATCTTAGTTTTGGGAATGAGCTGAGTCACTTCATCTCCCATCCCTCCAGCCAGGTTCCACACGTAACAGTTCCCCTGTTGGGGAGAACAGTTGAACCGAATGAGTTAGTTCATTTTACCCAGCTTCACACATGTTCTGTGTTTGCCCACTGACCGAACTGTTGACTGCTGCCATGTAACTGGCATCTGGATCGATGTGAACGGAGTTGACGGAGACCTCCGACTCTGGAATCAGCTGCTCGTTATGGTCTGTTTTCAGATCCCAGATATGAATCACTCCACTCTGGTCTCCGACGATCAACTCAGCCTGAAAAACATGCATCACGTAAAGTACACTGACCTTTATACGCACTTTACGTGATGAAATCGCCTACAGATCAAGAGGCAATCGGTGAGTAACTCACCTGGTTGGGATGCAGACACACACAATTGATTGGTGCATTTACTTGAAAGATCCTCTGGCACTGCAGGTTTCTTGATCTGAGAGGATGCAAGGACAACGATCAAACTTCCAGTTTATCAAACACACTTTGAGCCTGCTCTTCACAGACCTCAGGTCCCATATGCGAGCCATGCAGTCCTCCCCTCCTGTGTACATCCAGCGCCCGTCTTCGTGGAAACCCACAGACGTGATGTTCTTACTGACTCCATCGTAGTTGATCACAGGGTTTGGGTTGTTGGAGTTCAGATCGTACATGCGGATGTGCTGATAACCTTCGGAGCAGAGCGTAAACGATGTGAGGCAGGAGTAATGCAACATGTGAGAAGAGCTGCTGCAAAACTTGCAACCAACCTGCAGCTGCAATCATACTTCTGTCAGGCGTGACCTCCAGTGAATTTACTTGCTGGAGGGAAATGTTAAGAAATATTTCCCAGCTTACTCACATAAAAAACACTAAGTCTCAAAAACAGATTATAGTGCATTAGATATTATATTAAATATACAGAATATGTGTGTACACTTTTTAAAAGTTAAACGTGGGAGGCATTTCATCACCGAGTCCGAGCTTTAATCTGAACTCTGGTTTTATGAGCCGTGAAGCTGAGAGGATACAGAGTCCTGGTGCTGGACGGTCCGGGTGCAGATCCCGCTGTGGGCCTGCCAGAACCGGACAGTGTGGTCATACCCAGCCGTGGCCAGAATGACCGGGTCGCTGCCCACCGTCCCCTGGTTCACATTCATGGTTTTCACTGGCAGACTGCAGAGGAACAAGTAATTACCCGTCAAAGCGTCTTTAACTGTCTTACATGAAGAGAGGAAAAAACTCAATGGACGTTAGCGTAAAATGCTAGTTGAGGCTAAAGCTTTGAAATGTAAACATTAAAAAACGCCAAATGCCTTTGCTAAAGCAAAAACAATGCGTTGGATAAATTACATTTTTCTTGTTTACATTACCCGCTTGTGCTGATATTGACGAGGCGCGTCTCAGTAAAACGTTCGTCAGAAACTTAAAACCGAATTGAAAGGAGTTCCGCTCTGTCACTGTGTTCTACCGCCACCTGCTGGTGAGATTTGTCACTGCAGGAAACCAGACCAGCAACAGTTTTTTAATAAAGTTGTTGAGGAAATAATTTGCTGGAAACAAGTGGTTTTATATGCGAAATATTTAATAAATACAATTCTAGTTTTTTAAAAGGACTAAAACTACGAGGGCTTACTGTTTTTGGCTTGTTCGATTATTTTTATGCTACTTTATTAAGTGATAGTTTTTTCTTAAAAATAACAGAAAAATGTTAGAAATGAGCTGAAAGTAGCTGAAGCTAAAATTAGCACAAAGTAGCTGAACCAGAACAAAATGTGAAATGAGAAAAGGTTCTGAACAGATGAAATGATATGAAGGATTCACATTCACACAATTCATCTCAGCGTCAACGATCCTGTTCACACTGTCCTTCAGAAATCCTTTTAATGTTTGATCCTTGGAATTATTTTCTACATTCTCTAATTCTGTTTCCTTTATCAAAATTCATTTACTTAAATGTTCTGAAAATTGAATTTAATCCTTATTTGTTTTTTCATGTTTCACCTTTGCAGCACTATCTGACAGTTTGTTTTAAATGTTGATCATTTAAAGTAAACTCCTTCCATTTTCAAAATGTAAAGGTTTTGTTTGGAAATGGAGCTAAATGGAGCATATCTGTTTGCCTTTTTAACACTGGCTGCTTATTAAATTTGATCAAACAGTTGATAATAAAGGATTTTTTTAGTCATACCAGCTCACATTTGTATGTTTATGTCATGACATTCAGACTCAGGTCCCAGATCAAGAAGCCTAACAATTAACAAATAAATAAATACAAAATAGTATAAATATATATATGTGTGTGTGTGTGTGTGTGTGTAAATAAATAAAGTAATAATCTAATAATAATAATCAAATATTGAACAAAAAACATGATTCAGCTTTTAAAGAGGTGTTTATTCAACACACTTTAAATGAACATTTTAACATCATATTTTGAATAAATACATTAAGAGAAACAAGTTAAATAAATAACATAGAATATTAATAATAAATCCAAGTGTTGAAACATCACCTGTTGTTCACATGTCGGTCTGAACACGACCAAACGGAGGTAAACAAACCACTGGAACAGCTGGGATGTTGTGATTAAAGCTGCTGCAGCAGCGCCATCATGTGCTGCTTCACCTCTCCTGGATCTGCCAGCGAGCAGGACAGGATCACGCCTCTGATCCCACTCTTCATCTTTGCAGAAGGCAGGATCTACAACCCGCCACATGAGCTCAGACACACGTGGCTTGTTCCTACGACCCGATTAAATATACAAGGGCTACCATACCTTCACATAAATCTTGCACCGTTCCAAAAGAAACCTCCACTTCAGTGCAGTTCGCTGATCGTCGGTCAGACTGGTGAACTCCTCTGTCTGCAGCAGAGCAGAGAGCTGTTGGTTTCACAAACCTTCATGTGTTACAAGCTGTAAAACGGTACTGACTGTGCAGCCGAGCGTCTGCTCTGCCACCGGGCCTCTGAGGCTGCAGGCCTGCAGGGTGCTGGTGTGGTCTGTAAAGTCCACCAGTAAGTCGAAGCCTGTAGAAGCCGACAGAGCCTGATCTCTCCCTGAACACAGCTGGTTGGTGCAGGTCTGCGTGTCCTCCGTCACCTGGTACCTACATCTGGAGCTGAGGCAGGAACATCTAACTGAGCAGAGTCCTGCTGAAAGAAAACTCAATAGTAGCTGTTTTTTGACTGCGCATGTTTAAACACACCATCGTGTCTTGATGACTTTTGAGACGGACGAGTCGAGGTCCAGTTTGGAGACGAAGCTGTACGTGATGCCAAAGAAAGCCTCGGGGTGACCTTTGGCCTTGTCCTTCAGCTGGCTCACAGTGTACACGTCAGTGATGGAGTCCACTGCAGAGACAAAGCAGCATCAACACTCCATCATATCTGCACTGGCTTTAAAGAGAAGATGGTGTTTATTTAAGCTGCGACACCAGGTCTGTAGAAGAACATGTTGTGTCATTGTGGGCTCCACAGAGAAAATAAATGATCCTCCAATCAAGTTTAGTTTAAAGGAGGACGTTCTCAAAAACACATATTTACATTCTGAAAACTATTAAAATGGACTCGTACTCAGAACCCACACAGGTTCCAACCCACAGGTACGTTGGAGGCGTTTATATGAGCCGCGTGGTTTCACTGTCCTGGGGCAGTTTTAAACACGAGATGTTTGAAAACGCCCCGAGTATGTTTTTATTATTTTGCTTCCAAGCAGCCAGACTTTATAATAATCTACTAAAGTGGTCTCGATCAACAGCTCTCCAGAGGTTTCTTCAACCTTTATTTCTACAGGAGGTTAGTCTCCGTTGCTGTGTTTACATGGACATAAATAATCAGATTAAACAGACATTCGGAATAAAAATGTGTCATGTAAACGCCCCGTTCGGATTATTTTTTGTTGATTCAGCTCGATCCGAATGAATTTGTAATCCCAATGAGAGGGGTGGTTTATGCCGATTCATAATCTGAACGGTGTGCAAGTAAACACTTATAATCTGATCATTTTATTCCAGTCGTGGAAAACTGACCTGACTGCACATGTGCGACCTGTGCCAACCTCACGTGTTTCCACCTGGTTAGATGCTAATATGTTCGGGAAGCAAAACTGGTCGATGAGCGACAACATTTCTACTAGAAACTTTGAATGAGCTCAAAATAATCTGTATTACCTGTAGCTCATAACATCTACACCTTCATTAAAACCTGTTGCGGGTCCATTTTGGACGCTCAGCTTTGTTTACGTTCATCACGGAAGTAGAACTTTTTCATTTGTGTTTTTTTAAGGAGAGTTTACCACTCTGCGCATGTCAGTACTTCTATTCAGAATAAAAACTCGCTGCATGTAAACGCTCGTCGTGAATGGATTGTGCCCATGTAAACTATACATTTGGATTATTTTATCTGAGTACATTTCAATCTGAACAAATAATTTTGCACATGTAAACAAAGCTAAAGAGTCACGAGGACTCATTTAAAAGAGAGACCTGTTTTATTTTGTATCTTTCATAGATTTAACAAAAGAAATGTGAACAAAGTGTTTTTATGAGACTGCTGGTGACAATGTGCCTAAAAATCCTATTTAAATTGGGTTCTTTAAGTTGCTATGCGTCGACACAAAACTGGTTCATTCATTGCGTTTTGTAGCTTTTTGAGCCTGAATAATTCCTGAAACATGAGGCCCTGTTGACATCAAGAATAAAATTCACTGGAACGTACCGGGCAGGTCCTCTGCTGCCTCATCTTGATCCAGAGCTCCAGACTCGGACACTTCTTTAACGTAGCTGAACAACAGGCTGGCCTCTCTCGTGTCTGAAAACAAACCACGACTGACATTTAGTCCTTATTAACAACCTCCTGCTTGCACACTGGAAAGAGAGCCCTCTTTGTTTCTGTAAACGCTGCTGTGATCTTACCAGGATTGACGGTAATGACACTTTTCGAGTTAACTGTTGCCACCATGCTGCTGCGAAAGTTGTCAAAGCTAATCTTGGCGTCGGCTACGAAGAGCACTTTGAAAAAGGAGATTGGGAGTTCAAAGAACTGAGTTTTATCTTAAACACGGACAAACAGTCAGATATCAGCTTCTTGGGCAGGAATGACAGTTAAATAATGACTCATTTGGTGCCTGACAATGAGGAGCAGCTGTTCGCCTACCCGTCTCCTTGGGAGCCAAGGTTTGAAGGACCTGAATGGTCTCCTTGTCCCAGCTGAGCGGGAAGCAGACGTCAATGAGTCGACGGGGAGAATAAAACGTGAAAATCAAACATAGCTGGTTAATGAAAAGCAGCGACTTGAGTCTACAAAATAATAAGACTCATCTAAACGTGACGCACCAGACGAGAGGAAAGGATGAGACGGAGTCATCGAAGAGCTTCACTTCAAGTCTCTGCCCTTTGCGCCCGTCTGAAGTGGTGAACTGCTTTATCTCTCCCATCTGGAAACGTAAAACAGAATCGCGTTACGTTCTCCTCCTCTTATACAACAAGTGGATCAGATCGCCTTGTGAGTGCAGTTTAATTAAAACAACTACAAGCTGGTATTTTTCTAACCAACATTTTGCATTTGTCTGCTTAGACTTTTAAATTTTGTTTTTGGGGAAAAACAAACAAACTTGTAATAGGTTTAGCTCCTGTGTAGAAAGTTCAGCTGTTTGTGGCTCCGACCTGTTTCATGGCGGCCAGTATGTTGAGCACTGTGCCGTCCAGCTTTTGTCCGTTGGCTGCAATATCTCCCAGAGAGTAGAAGTCTCTGGAGTCTTTAACGGGAAGGTGGATGAGCGGCAGCAGCCTGTCGATGGTGTCAACATCAGCGCACAGATACACCTGGGAGTGAGCCTCAGTCACCAGCAGCCTGTAGTGGCTAAAACGTCCCATTTAAAACAGAGGATCACTGAACATCAGCTACAGACATGATCTCGTTTTGTTGAGAAAATTACAAGGTATTTATCTCGCTATTTACCAGCTTTCAGTTTAGTGAGTATAAAATAGATCAATAAAGGCATAAAAAGGTTACTGACCTTGGTGTTGTGGGGCAGAACTTGTCTCCTTTTTCTGGATCTTTGGTGGCGACTAAAGGATTTTCAACTGTGACTGGAAAAAACAAAAACAAGAGAACTTTTTAAACTGATCTAAGTCAGTCAGCGCGAGTTAAATATGGTGGTGGTGGGGATTAAACGTTACAAAGCAAGTAACTTGTTTCTGGTGTTTTATCTGGTGTAACTCAGTTGGAAGAAATATAACTTCTCTGAGGTAAATTTGTGTCATTCTGACGCTCTTAAAGACTGTTAACATTAAAAGAAGACTTTGTTCAAAACAACCTTTATCAGGTTATTAAAAAAATGCTTTATGCATTAAGTTTTGTTTTGGGGAGTAAAATGGTGATGCTCACCACAGTCTCCAACACCGAAGCTGTTGGCGAGCCCGTTGACATATCCATCATTTCCCCAGGCCGCAACGTTGATGAAGAAATCAGCTGAGTCTCTTATGGTGAAGCCAAACGTGAATCGGTCTATCTCAGTGTCTGAAAATCAGAGATGGAAATGATTGATACAATGAGAGGACAGGGAGATGATCACCAGTAGAGGGGGCAGACGGACAGGAAATGAAGTATCAGAGCTAGAAGGACTTTTCTGTCAGAAAAATACCAACTTTTTCTGTCAGGGAAGCTCCTGACATCAGTTTTAGCGATGATGACTCCTACCACCTTCTGGAAAACATCAGAACAGTGACAATGTAGAGAAAGTTAGATACAAACTTTTAACGTTTTGCATTCAAATTTAGGATTAACTCACAGCTGAAAGTATTCAGCTTTGCGATTACAAATTATACTCTGGGAACTTGTGAAAGGATAAAATCAAAGTGACGGGAGAACTCACCGGATGAGAGAAGCTGGGATGAAGCTCTGAGATGGAGATGCAGTTCTGAGCAGCCATTTAATTTTATGACGTCCACTTCCGTTTTTTATTAAAGCTTTATTATTATTATTATTATTATTAAAGCTACAGACTCTGTTCAGAGGTGTATGAATACAGAATGGCTTAGTTTCACATAAACAAATTTCAAGCACTTTATGTTTTTATGAGTAAAGCTAACGCCCAAGTTTAGCTAGTGGCTAAAACTAGTAAAACGCATAAGAAACACTAGCTAGCTAACAGGAATTTTAATAATTTTAAAATGTTACATTTTATTTTAAACGTTTGCAATTTAAGTAAAACCTTAGTAAAAAAAAAAAAAAAACGCTGCTGTGTTTAAATGTACTTGTAAATTTTTTACCTGGAAAAAAAAAATCGTCTTTACTTTGAGTTTCTCTTCCTTTGTTTCGCGCTTAAAATGTGGCACGAGCAATTTAGGAGATGCGTTCAAAACTATCTGACAAAAAAGCTTCTCATTTGGGATTAAAACAGGTTTTTCTCTCTGTCGTTTGTCAGCCTTGTGTACGCGAGTTAGACGTTGCGTTTGAGACTATCTGTACAAAAGGCTTCTAAATATTTCACACTAAAGTAGCTTAGCAAGAAACAGCACAGCAAATGTTACAGCCTGAAATAAGATAAAGCACAGTTTATTAAAAACAAACATACAACTTTTTTTTTTTATTGCACAGATGGAGATTTGATTAAAACATAAAACAATTAAAATAGCAGTCTGGGAGTTTTTATTTCTTCAGAACAGGAACAGGATATTTTAGAATTGGAAAAAAAAAAAACGCCTCCACTACAGTTGATTAACAGTTCACAAAAATATTAAATGTCCCATACCCACAATATATTGATTTTTATATACATGGAATTTTATTAATATATCAATATAGTGGAGAATGGAACATAAACCAGTACATAAAATGTGATAAATGAAGGTTGTCTATAAATCTGCACTTAAAGCTGAGCAAGCAGTGAAATGAGACAACACTGGCTCCGTATCAAACCTTTACAACTCAAAAGTGTTCTGTTTGTACACAAGTCATGTATTTAGATTTCTTGACATAACTCAAACCTGGATCTCAGACTTTTTTACAACCTTGATGGTCCTCCTCAGCCATCCTGCAATGCTGAGATAAATTTGACAGTTTCTTGGTTGGTTTGGACATCTCAAAATCTATTTGACATATGTTACTGTCTACAAATTAAAATGCAAGCCACAGTAAACAGCATCACTCATTCATGTTCATCTTCTGTTTTGGTGAGTAATATTTCATCCGTATATTGACTGTACCATTGTGTGGCATTGCATAATGCGAAACCGGAATTGGTTTGCTATTTGTACAAGTTTTATTCAAATGAAGCCAAATTTCAAATTCTAATTTCATTACACTTTCTGGACTACACTATGTGAGTCCATTAATCACAGCACAGAGCTACAGCATCACTGGATAAATCAAGCCAAACTTTCTTTGGGTTCGATGATTTATTCATAATGAATTCACGGCCGTTATCAGTCTAATCAATCACACTTGGACCCAGCTGATTCTGTGAGAACATTTGAATAAGATAGCAACATGTCTGAATCAGACGGCGTCCTGAGGTTCTGCTCATCATCTTTAAAAGCACAATTTTACATCAAGAACAAGAGCGGTAACCAAAACATTTGCTGTAGGAGTATTCTGTGATTGGACGGTTTTTAATCTCACGTCATCAGTCTGGAGGGCCTTCAGCCATACTGTCAATCCTTGACCCATTATCTCATCAGTGCACATCTGCACATCGTGCACACACAGAGTGACGCTTTGCAGGATTTTTACGCTTAAAAATTACAACAATCTACTGGTAAAGGGCTAAAATATTATTGGTTTAGGAGTAACAGTTTATTTTGGCTTCAGAGAAAGTCCCTATTCTGTTAAATAATTTAATAAAAGTTGTCCCTTTGCATTTAACCAAAGCTAGTTTTAAATCTTTACACTGCATCATAACAGATATAAAAATGCTCCAAACAGGCCTTTTGGATCGTAAATATATTTTAGAAAAGACTGAATGTTTTAGATAAAAACCTCAACAACAGTGATCATTTTCTCACATACTTAGGCTATTTACAATTTTGTTTACATATATCAAATGGAAAAATCAATTAGAACTGAGATCTCGGTAGGAACTGCCCAATTAAATAGTAATAATACAGTAATAATAATAATAATAATAATAATAATAAAAGCTCAAGTTTTTGGGAAATTCTGGTTGGCCCTGATCTTCTAAAAAGAAAATTGTTCTCCATTTATTCGATATTTGCCATCCACTTACTCTAACCAAAAATGCTGAATCACACATGCTGCACCATAAGGGTTGAGAACGTCCAAAATAATGTTAACAAATTATAATAATAACAAAATCCCTTGTTAAGGATTTTCATAAAAATCTTTTTTTCTTGATATGATCACACTGAAGGCAAAAGTGGCATAGGTCAACAGAGACCAGTGGTGGGATGTAACTAAGTACAAGTACTTCATTACTGTATTTAAGTACACTTTTGATGTATCTGTACTTTACTTAAGTAGAGTTAAACATGGGTACTTTTTACTTTTACTCCACTACATTTTACATTAAGTATCTGTACTTTCTACTACACTACATTTCTGTAATGCGTTGTGTTACAAGTTACATGCACATTACAACTTTTTTATTTGTTCGTTAATTTGAAAGTAACCAATGGCGAGAGGGGAGTTGGTCCATTGAATCAATGCAAAGTGGGCAGGTAACATTAGACCCACCTTCAAGAAGAGCTATATTCTACAGTAGTATATATGTCACTGAGGTGGGAGCACCCGCAGCACCGCTAACACACTCAAAATGGATTCCACTGAGGAAAGTCAGCCTGAAGATACAGTACGTGCCACCCATGACCTTATTCAAAGACTATTGAAAGACTATTGAAAGACTATTGAAAGATTATTCAGTACAGCAGGACAGATACTCTCTCCCAAAAGAGCCAGACTGGACTTAAAAAACGTTGAAAACCAACTTCTTTTGAACTTGAACAAAAAAATTCTTGCTGCAATATTAAAATGTGTCAGTTCATGGGATGTTAGGAGACAAGAGATGTCTCCAAATGACGCAACACTCAGGTCCAAGTTTTGAAAATGGTGTCAGGAAGTTAAAATATTGTTCACTATTGACCCAGTACAAGGTCGACTAGA